TATATGAAGACCCATACAATCAGCAAGGGCAGCTAACTACACAAGAAACTCAATAGCACTAAATCACTGAAAATCCAGAGAACAAAGAAAACAAACTAAATAGCAGATAACTATTTTCTCTGTAACCTCTTAGTTATCTTAGGTGCACCAGTACTTGGTGAAAAAACTTTAGGTAGAAATTACTTTTTTTATATTGACAGTGTCTCTTGAAATTAGGCTTTTTTTCTTTCTTAGTGAAGACTTTTCTGCAAAACAGTCATTCATCTTGAGCGCTTTATATTCCTGGGCTCTTCTTACAAAATGCATCAACTTTACTAAATACCCTATATGATATACAAAGAGGAATTAAATACTTTTCATTTATATGTAAATTATTAGCTTTTTATCAACAAATGTAAATTTCACTTTACAAATAGAAAGCAACAAAAATATTCCCATTGAAAACTTAAATGTACAGATAAAGTAAGGAAAATGCTGCTTGAGTATGTAGAGGTTAATTTAAGAATATGTATATATATTTTGATAGGTGAGGTTAATAACTTATATTTTACTAATTAAAAATATTTAAGTTTTTTAATCTCAACCATTATAGTTATTAAATAAATTATTGCCTGATTGCTCAATCCCTATAATTTCTCACAACTCTGAAAATTTAAACAAAAAAATAAAAAAGCATAAAGCCTTACAATTTTGTATATTTGTGAAAATTTAAATAGATATATATTTTAAAGATTAAAAAGAAAAATCAATATCATCCATCAAAATTATTAAAAACTAAAATTTGAATTCTGACCAGATTATTTATGTGTGCGCCAACCCTATTCCCAGAAATTTTCCTCTATTGGTGAAAGGTTATTTGTATAGGTTAATACCCATTAACATTTGGTGAGTAACATTTGGTGAGTCACCAAAATTATACAGGATCTTGGATTTGGGGATTTTGAAATCATTACAGAAAAAAGCTCATTTCCACACAAACAGGACTCTGCCCAAGGATCTGAAGAGTCTGTGATTTTCCTTCCTGTGAGGACTTCACAATAAGAGAAAACATAGAGCAACAAATCCATGGTGAAATCATTAAGGACTTTTCTGCAAAAAACATTGCAGACCACAACAGCAGAGCAAAATTACAGGAAGAATAATGGTAGTTCGAATTAGGAGCTTTAATTCGAACTACCCAGTCCATGCCGCGTGTAGCTGCGAGCAGGTAATTCAAACTACGGGCATTTAAAAATGGCACCCACCCGGGAACATGCAAATGAAGCCCAGGATATTTAAATCCTGGGCTTCATTTGCAAGTTCGAATGCCTACATTAGCAACCCTAGTTCGAATGAGGGTGGCAGTGTAGACATACCCTAAGAGACTCTTGGCTGTCATTGGCTATATTTACACAGCAGCGTTATTTCAGAATAACTAATGTTATTCAAAAATAACAAAGTCCGTGTCTGCACTACAAGTAGTTATTTTGACATAATGTTGAAATATTGTGAATCTGGAGGAATTCTTACTCCGACTCCTGTAACCCCATTTTACGAAGAGTAAGGGAAGTCAGACGAAGAGTCCTCTTTCTTGGACTCCCTGCTGTGTAGACGGCGCCAAAAGCTGAAATAAGCTATTTTTACTTCAGCTACACAATTGACGTAGCTCAAGTTTCGTAGCTTATTTCAGCTTTAGTCCTGCTGTATTTACATTCCCATAATGGCCGTGGTAGTTGTTACAAATTGGCATAATTAAGAGGATGGCACAAAAGATCAGGGGAGCACAAATGTGGCATTAAACCATTTTCCCCCTTACTTGCATATCAAAATATCCCAGCAAGTTAAAATGTGCTGAGATTACATCTTGATACAAGTGACACAAGCCTCAATAAAATCTGACACACAAAGTTAAAATTCAAGGCATTTGAAAAGCTATTCAAAACTTTACAAAACTACCATTATTTAAACTATTTACAGCAAACTGTGCTTTAAAAAAAACAATGCACATAAAAATGAATTAGGTTTGTGATGAATGCCTAATCTGAATGCAGGAAGATGGAGGATGCTAAAAAAACTCAGATTAATCTACAGAAATGGGTTGTTTCTCCAGTATCTTTTTGTAATCTAGTAATGTATTATATTATCCAATTATCCCAGGCAGGCAGGTTGCTATTTTCTACCTTGTCCAAAAGAAGTAGAATTAAAGATGATCTCCTTAAATTACTGCTTTTAAAACTGAATTATATTATTTTGTATAGGGCCTGTCCCTGCTTTTATAAACTGTTAATCTACTGAATGTTTTCACATTTGATACACAATTTTTATTTACAAGCAATGTGAATTCATTAGCTAGATGTAACTGATAGTTATTATGCATACATTTTTTGCTGTCCCCTAGGAATGAAATGAAAATGAAATGCTGCATCTCTAAAGGCCTTCTTAAAAAGCAATATTTATAAGTAAATATTGTAACCAAACATTTGGTAAATTGACACTACTGTACAGTGAATCATATTCTTCCAAATTTCAATCATATCCTATCACACACGGGAAGATTGCATTATTTAGATGCTATGAATTTTTCCAACCTCTCGATTGCTAGTTCCAATCTGAGACACCTATGTGAAATGAATAGAGTCAATCAGAATGCTTTCAACTAAATGTATTTGTCTTTTGTATTAATGTTGTTGATGATGATTTTGACAGGAACATTTCTGAGGTCCAAGAAGAACTCTGTAATCACTTCTTATGAGAGAATGACAGGCCTGAACAGACCTGAAAATGAGTATCTAGGATATGTCTGCTTAGCAAACAGAAACTCCTGGAAGTGAATCTCAATACATATCTACTAATTTTTACTAATTACTATTTAAGAGGGGACTGGAAAGGATGGTACCCAAAATCATCCCACAGTAATCATTAATCACTCATTAATAATTCTCTCTGACTATATGTGTGATGTTCCTGTTCTCAGATTATGATGAACAAGCAAGTTTGAGCTCTAAACTGGAACTTTATACATGCAATATTTACTTTTGCATGTGTACATATTTACTGACCAATATGTCTAATATTGATCCGATATGCAGTTTTGTTCATCAAGTTTTGTACAGTTCACTTCTGTTTAAAAAGGACCTGCCCCCAGAATTCTGTTATTCAGCCATTTTTACATCATTCATTAGGTATGGTCACACTAATTTGGCAACATCGCAAGCTGTGAATGGGACTCTTCTGTTCTAAATACAGGATGCTACATTGAATCACATCACATTTCTTTTGGCCCAACCCTATCATTTATCTAGGTCACTATTTGGACCTTCCAGAATATCTCTCTCACTTTCCCCACCCAGCTTCACATCATTTACAGACTTGCTAAGGGTGCAATCTTGACCATTAACCAGATCACTAATGATGAACAACAAAACTGGACCCTGAAAGACTATACCCGGGCCACTCTGCTTGATACAGTGCTTCTGTACCTAATGACTGGAAGATAGCTAATGTGATGCCAATATTTCAAAAGGGCTCTAAAGGTGAGTCTGGCGATTACAGACTAGTAAGTCTAACATCAGTACCGGACATATTAGTTGAAACTATAGTAAAAAATAAAATGCTCAGACACATAGAGGGATAGCTCAGTGGTTTGAGCATTGGCCTGCTAAACCCAGGGGTTGTGAACACAATCTTTGAGGGGGCCATTTAGGGATCTGGGGCAAATCTGTCAGGGATGGTACTTCATCCTGTCGTAAAGGCAGGGGACTGGACTCAATGACCTTTCAAGGTCCCTTCCAGCTCTATGAGATAGGTATATCTCCAAACATAATGGCTACGTCTAGACTGGCATGATTTTCCGCAAATGCTTTTAACGGAAAAGTTTTTCCGTTAAAAGCATTTGCAGAAAAGAGCGTCTAGAGTGGCACGGATACTTTTGCGCAAAAGCACTTTTTGAGGAAAAGCGTTTGTGCCAATCTAGACGCGGTTTTGCACAAGAAAGCCCCGATCGCCATTTTTGCCATCGGGGCTTTTTTGCACAAAACAGTTTTTAGCTGTCTACACGGGCTTTTTCCCGAACGGGAGCAGCATAGTATTTGCAGAAGAACACTGACAATCTTACATTAGATCGTCAGTGTTCTTGCGCAAATTCAAGCGGCCAGTGTAGACAGCTGTCAAGTTTTTCCGCAAAAGCGCTTGCTTTTGCGGAAAAACTTGCCAGTCTAGATGCAGCCAACTTGTTCTGGGACAGTAAACACGGTTTCTGTAAAGGGAAACCATGCCTTACTAATCTACTAGTGTTGTTTGAGGGGGTAAAAAACATGTGGACAAGGGGGATCCAGTTAATATAGAGTACTTAGATTTCCAGAAAGCCTTGGACAAGGTCGCTCTCCAAAGGCTCCTAGGTAAAGTAAAATGCAGGACAATGTAGCACTTTAAAGACTAACAAGATGGTTTATTAGATGATGAGCTTTCGTGGGCCAGACCAGTTATGGGATAAGAGGGAAGATCCTTTCATGGATTGAAAACTGGTTAAAAGACTAGAAACAAAGGATAGGAATAAATGGTAAGTTTTCAGAATGGAGAGTGGTAACTAGTGGCGTCCCCCAACAGTCTGTACTGGGACTGATCCTATTCAACGTATTTATAAATGATCTGGAGAAAGAGGTAAATAGTGAGGTGGCAAAATTTTCAGATGATACCAAGCTGCTCAAGACAGTTAAGACGAAAGCAGACTGTGAAGAGCTTCAAAAAAATCCCACCAAATTAAGTGATTGGACAACAAAATGAAATGCAATGTTGATAAATGTAAAGTAATGCACATTGGAAAAAATAATCCCAATTATTATGAGACTAATTTAGCTACAACTACTCAAAAAAGAGATCTTGTAGTCATTGTGGATAGTTCTCTGAAAACATCCACTCAGTGTGCAGCAGCAGTCAAAAAAGCAAATAGAATGTTAGGAATCATTAAATAAAGGATAGAGAATGAGACATGGAATATCTTATTGCCTCTCTATAAAATCATGGTATGCCTACATCTTGAATACAGCATACAGATGTGGTTGCTTCATTTCAAAAAAGATTGGCTTTGGAAAAGATTCAGAAAAGGCAACAAAAATTATTAGAGGTTTGGAACAGGTCCCATACGAAGAGAGATTAAAAAGAGTTGGACTTTTCATTTTAGAAAAGAGGAGACTAACAGGAGGTATGATAGAGATCTATAAAATCATGACTGGTGTGGAAAAGCAAATAGGGAAGTACTGTTGACTCCCTCTCATAATGCAAGAGCTAGGGATCTTGAAATGAAACTAATAAATAGCAGGTTTAAAATAACCAAAAGGAAGTTTTTCTTCATGCAGCACAGTGTCAACCTGTGAAACTCCTTGCTAGAGGATTTGGTGAAGACTAGGACTTTAACAGGGTTAAAAAAAGAGCTAGATAGATTCATTGAGGTTAGGTCCATCAATGGCTATTAGCAAGGATTGGTAGGAATGGTGTTTGAAGCCTCTGTTTGGAAATGGATGACAGGAGAGAGAGATCATGTGAGGATTACCTGTTACGTTTACTCCCACTAGGGCATCTGGCATTGGCCACTGTCAACAGACAGGACACTGGGCTAGATGGACCTTTGGTCTGGCCCTGTATGGCCATTCTTAGGTTCTTATACTGGCTGCCATCGAACCGTTGATCACTACCCATTGAACCTGACAATTTAGACAGCTTTCTATCAACCTTGTTGTCCATTCGTCAAATCCATACTTCTATAAATTGCTAGCAAGAATACTGTGGGAGACCATATCAAACCATTGCTCAAGTCAAGGTATATCATGTCAACCACTCTCCCCATATCAACAGAGCCAGTTATCTCATCACAGAATGCAATTAAGTTGGTCAGACATGTCTTCCCTAGATGAATCTGCATTTCCCTGGATTTGTCTTCCCCTTTTAAAAGATGGGCACTACATTTACTTTTTTCCAATTATCCTGGATCTCTCCCAATTGCCGCAGGTGTTCAAAGATAATGGTCAGTAGCTCTGAAATCACATCAGAAACTCC